AAATTATTTTAAAATAAACAATTAACGCAGTGGAAAAAAATGTAAAGCTTTTTTTTGGAAATTTAATAGGTTTTAACTATATAGTCAAAGTATTTTGGATGTGTGTGATATATTAAATTATGCCATGAATATCTGTAAATGATAAATACTGCAATATTAATTTTAAGTGTATGACCGATAAAAAAGGACTAAAAATCAATTAAATAGAAAAATATTTTAAAAAAATAACAAACAAAATATAAAAAAATATTAATCACGTTAATAAAAACTTAACATTTTTTCGGATATTATATATATGAATATATATACATATATAAATACATACTTAACGCAATTAAATTATTTTATTTGCATACAATTTTACCATCAATTATACTAGAACACCTTAACATAAAATATATAATGAGTTGAGTAATTAAAAAAATAAAATAAATTAAATTATAGGATATATTTATTTACACATTTGTTCAAAAAAAAAAAAATTATAGTGCATTCTTTTTCTATATAAAATTATTAATATTAACTCTTTACAATGCATGTTTATAAAAATATGATATTTAAGTAATTCAGTATTATATTATTTTTAATAATTATTTTTAATATATTGGTTAGTAATCCATATTTTTTAAAGCTCTGCAGTTTTTTTTTTTTACCTCTTTTTTGTAATAAGATCCAAATTATTTTCCAAAATGTTTTTATTCATTATTTCTGCAATATAATCACTAATTAAAAAGTATACATTGTCGATATATCATCCCTATATATTCATTCATATTTATTATATTTCACGGCTAACCTACATCACGAATAATGTTAGTTGAAAATTAAAGATATTTCCACTCCGCGATCCTTAAAAATGAATAACAAAGCATTTTTTTCAGCCGGGCGAATTTTTTTTAGTAATTTAATATAAGGAGACAATAACAGAGGCAGCAGCAGCAATAGCAGCCGTAGCAGGTGAAGAAAAAGAAATGTGTATGAAAAATTTAAAATGCTGTTAATGTGGGTGTAAAGCATACGTTAACTCAAGCGGCAACGGAACATGGAACACCTTCCTCATTTGCTGATATTTCCTGCAAGCGCTACCACTTACTTCCTTAACACTTTCCTGCCATATTTATTTGCATGTAATGCATGTATGCCAGCTTCTGTTAATATGCAAATGTACACTCTGCATATGCACGTACGTGTTCGGTTGAGGGTGTGTGTGTTCGCATATGCATGCATGTGACTTGTTATCAGCTGCCGCGCACTCTCGTGTTACATTCTCAATGTATTTTTCATGTTTGTTTCATTTTTTTCTCGTTACACACGTTTACATAATGGCACACTTTTATCTTGAATACAAAGAGTTTGAAAAAATATGTCATCAGCAGCACCAATGCTGCTGTTGCTGTTTGCTGTTGCTGTTGCTGTTGCTGTCGCTGTTATTGCCGCTGCAAGCGCCTAACTTCGTAAACACTAATGCTAACGCCACCAACTAACATGCAAACATTGCTGCGTTGCCATTAGCATCGACAGCATAATTTTATGCATTTGCGCATTTGTTGCTTTTGTCTTTCTTTTTTGTTTTTTTCTTCTATTTTCTGCCAATTGTTTATTGTTTTTGGTGTTTTCTTGCTTCGTTATTTGTTGTTGCAATTTTCTTTATTTGGTTTTTTTCTTGTTAACTTCCTTTGTTGGCAATGTTTTGTTTTACTTCTACTGTTGTTGTTGTTGTTGGTATTCGTATTTGCTTTCGTTTCTAATGCATAACCGAATTCCCTCTACTTCATCGTTGCTTCTTTATTGGTTGAGTTTGGCTATTGTTAATACATTTCTTCACTTCTAGTCAAGTTTTTCCCCTTCTTTGCATTTGTTATTTTAGTGTTTGTTGTTGTTTTGTGTAGCAACATTTACTAATCAACACCGCACATTCGCACAGTTGGTTCCTTTCATTAGCAGTGCCGACATGGAGTAGCGCCGACAGCCTCACTTTTCCATACACGATTTGTTAATGCTTCTTTGAGGTTGCCAGAGGTTGTTGCCTCCGGTCAACGCGCCACATTCTAAACAAATGGCTTAATATTCACAGATTAAATATCTAAACATAATGTACACATTTCTTTCCATTTATGTCTGGTAACGCCATATGCATATGGCCACTTTGCTTTTCAGTGTAATTAGCCTTTTAGTTTTTTTTGTTTTTTGTATTTTTATTGTTTAAAGAATCTCTCATTTAATGGAAAATATATTAGCATTCTCGTAATAAAAATAATTGAATAAAGTAAAAATAGTTGGAGTAGAGTATTTAAACTATAAGTACATCGCATCTCAATTTAAATCAATGCAATTTGTATAAATAAAACTTAGAAATCTAGAATAAATAAAATAAAAGTCCGTAACACCATTTAGGAAAGTAATTAAAGCAGACATTAGATATGTTTTCTAATACTTTTTTGTTAGTTTAGCCTTTACACAAAAAGATATTGGACAAGCCAATATTTAATTTACAATTCTTTAATTTTCAATCACCCATATGCCATATATAGTACACTATGTTACACCAATAAACTAATAGTTTTTATACTTACAAACTCTCATAGTACACAAGACAACATTGTTGTCATTGCAAATTTATTCTTTGCTTTTAAAGTAATTTATGCATTACATTGTTGCTTCTAATTAGTTCCTACTCTTTAAAAATACTATCGTTCAACTAAATATATATTACCCATATGTATAAATACACATATATAAATACTTATGTATAAATACACTATCTAATAAGGAAAAAAAGCCTCAACTAATTAATTTAAAATAAAAATCCACACCCGAAATAAAGTGAACAAAAATGAAACAGAAAATAATTTAAAATAATAGTAGCGATTTTCTATAGAAACCCCTTTGCATAAATAGGTTTAATAGTATAGCTTTGCATTTTTACAGTATTGCGATCAAAATATTCAGTAAAACAAAATGTCATGTCCATCCAGATTAGTTTTTTTAGCAAAAACCAAATGAAAAAAAATATTTAGTCTTTAGAAAAAGCTTCTCTATCTTATACTCTTACAAATGTGGTGTAATTTTAGCTATACTAATCTGATTTTCTAAATATTTTAGGTAAATGCACTCCATAATAACAACAAACTAATATCTTTTGTATGAAAATAATAACATACCTCATGTGTTTAGAGTTGTAAATAGAGTTGTGGGGCGCTAGAAACATCTTTCTACTTTAAAACAATCCATTTACTTTATAAACTAATTGGGTTAATTGCTATTGACTAACGTATCCATGATCTTAAACTTTAGATTTTGTTTAAAGATATATGTAAGCAACAGAGACAGCACTACTACAAGAAATAATTACATTATGGCAATAAGTTTGTTTAATTCGGTTGCTGGAAGAAAGTCTTAGCAGAAGTCCAACTCTATCAAGTATGACCACAAACGAAACTAATACCATCCACTAAGCGAATCAGAAACGAAATTCACATAGTGATATGTGTGATATATCTGCGATGTTAAAAAACATAGATGTTGTGTTATCTACGGATAACTGTTATATAAAGTAAATAAGATTAATTATTAACTCTTATCAAAAACTGACAATTTCTTCTTACAACACAATATATGAGTATTCAGATAAAAGTTTATATCTCTAAAACCTCATAACGAAACTATTTAGCATTCTAACATAGTTTGACTAGTTGTCACTGTTAGTGACTAAAATATTCCACTGATACTGAACTAAATTTAAACAAGTTTCAATACATTTAAACAAATTGATTGACAAGTTGTAAACTGCGTGAGGTATAAAACTATTTACTGAACCGTCCTCATCGTAGGCATAAGCCACTACAACTATAATAAACACAATAAACTTAGTTCAGTATTGTTGCTGTGGATAAGTGACTGTTCTTTATAGACGGTAACTCAAACAAAATATATATATTGTACCTCAAAGCAAAGCAGGACTAAAATGCGCTATGTTATTTTGTGAAAGATCTTACACTACGTTAGCATCACAGCAAGAAGAGATCTTGGTAATGTCGTCTCAAACTAGAAGTAGATAAAACCACGAGTGAAGCTTTTGCGACTGCTTGAATTTATTGTGTGCTTAGTAAAAAATAGTGATCCAAGAACTCTTGCCCCCGTCTGATATTAGAAAATCGTCAGTAAAACAAAATCCGCTCGTACAGTTAAGTTTATCTGTTCCTATACTCGAATAGCATAAAGCATGTGACATATTGTTTAGCATCATAAATTTAATAATATCTTATATGTGGAACTAAGTACTTTATATATAGTTATCAACTTCGTGGTCCTGATTTCGTGATATATTTCAAACAAACCGCTGAATGTGGAGTGCATTGTGATAACTTACTACAAAATTGGTAACGATTTTTCGCATATTTTTGATGATATGAATTGACATCAAAATCAAATGATAAAGTAATTACAAATCATCATCCAACAAGCTTCAAACTCTCAACTCTTGGAAAGATCCTGATGAACACCCGTCAAGTTACAGGAGAGGTGTTGCAAGCCAGGTCTCGACAACTCACAAAAATCACGTCGTAGCATGTGCTGTGAAGGATATTTCAATGATATTATATTTCACCACTAATGGCAAGATTTGAGCAATAAACTAAAATTCAAATTGATCCACATTTCCTTCAAAAATAAGTTTTTTTTTATATTTAAGTTCAGTGCCATAAAATGGATGACCCTGTACAAGTTCTGGTTGTCCTGTTACAGAACTCTTAGTGCATAATAAATAATAAAATTTTGCTGTTGTAATCATTAAACGTTATCAAAACACTAAATCAAAAGAATTCTCTTCATTTTACATAACAACTTAATTATGCTTATTAACAACTACGTGTTGGTTATTACGAGGTGATTTATTTTTTCCACTTTTTTTGCCAATAATTCTAATACTAATTCCAATTCCACAGAAAAGAGTTTCACTTAGTCATACTAAAACAATACTAAGAATTTTTTTTTTATTTTACTATTAAAAGTTAAGCGTGTTATTATAAAATTAATTACCCAAAAGACCCAGTTTCAGTTACTTATGTATAAATAATAAAAGTTATTGTTTTGTACTCAGTATTTTACTGCTGTAATAAATTAAACATAATAAATCCTATCAAACGCAATCAGAACTCCTAGACGGTGGAGGTCCTGGGAAAGAGTTACTACTATTTTATTGTTTTCGTCTGCCAAAAATGCAAACACTAAATTATAATAAAAATATATAATTTATTTACAGTTCATAAACGCAGAATGTGCACAATAAAAATAATAAAAACAATAAAAATAATAAAAATAATAAAAATAATAAAAACAATAAAAACAATATCAATATAAATAAAATATAGTGACATTGTGTCATGTACTCCAATATACTCCACGTAGTCATTGTAGCCAATGTAGTCAATGTATCCAATGTAGTCAATATATCTAATGTAGGCAATGTATCTAATGTACAAATTAATAAAGGGAAAAGCGGTTTTCCTTAGAAAAGCAGTTTCTCACGAAAAGCCTAAGCCAGATACGCAAGTGGTTACCACTCCGACATATTTCAAGGTGAGTTGCTAATAGAATTGTTAGTTTTTGGTTAAAGAACTCAAGGTCCCAAACTAAAATTCACTCTTTGTGTTCAAGACTAAAAAAACTTACACGTTGGCTTGCCTTGACACCCGCTTGATAACCAATAGAGCAGTGCTTTATAAGCATTAAACACACAAATTAATTGAAAGCAAATACCTGAGGAGAGCTAACTATTGGATAATATGGTAAACTGTTAATGAAAAAATAAACATTTTTTACCAAATATTGGATTTACGTTTATTTCTGTCAATAAATTTCGAATTATGTCACCAAAATGTGTTGAGGGAAGAGTTAAGCAGTTAGCAGATTCATTTTGGGGTTTTAGCTTGGAATTAAAATGTTTGCTCTTAACTATGTATAAAAATATTTAAAGACTCCACATCCACATAAGGAGAAAATTCACAATAAAATTGTTTTTCTATGAGTCAGTCCATAAAAAAGTACACTAAAAACTACAATTTATGCTATTTTGCTTCATTTTATTTATTTTTTTATATGTGCGCTCCTCGAAGCAAAAATATTACCCATTTTCAAGTATCGAAGGAAGACATGTAAGTTTTTACTATTCACGAAAATAGAAGAAATTATATGAAAAGTTTTCGTAGACGTCGGAGAACATGCAATTTTCCAATTCGAGCATATGTGCGTTAAAGGAATTCATTCAAGCCACCCATTCAAGACCCCATCAATAGGGTCGTCCGCATAGAGATATTGTAATGCCATGTTGTACTCTTTTCCACTTTTTTCATTATACAGGTAAATATGAAATTTGGTAAAATATGTATTGAGAAACACGTAAAAGCTACGTGCATTGGTAGCGACCGTAAATTTTAATATAAAGTAGGGAAAAAATATGGAAAAAATGTAAATCACGCAAAATTTTTATACCATTTTACTGCTCTATTTAGGTGACACTCTTGCAACAGTGGCAGTAACCTCAGTGCTTGGTAGTGGCTGCCTCCAACCCGGCAACATGGAAGACAGCAACAACCTGAATTCTTATGCATTCCTTTCAGTCGACACCCGTGAATTGCGTACGGCACACATTGTACGTGAGTGCAGTGATTCTTTGGCGACACTGTAGCGAAAGAAGGTCACAAGATAGTTTCTCCTTCCGCCGTGCTGCACGTTTAACGTTCGCAGAGACAACGTAAAAATATTTCCAACAACTCCAACCTCAGATTCGTGTTAATTTACCTATCACTTTTTTATTTTTTTTTATATTTTTAGCAGGAGTTGCGAATTTTTCAGTTAGTCAGCACAAAACTTTCAATCTCTTCAACTAAATTTTATATTTTAATTAATTAGTTTAGTTTGCTACATCCAACAAATGGCTATAATATTAATTAAAACAGCACTAACAAAAGTAACTCATAATGTCTGAGAATGTAGTCTGCATTCTATTTCAATTAGAAAAATTACTTTTGCCAAATTTTTCCTTTAATTTTCTGAGATATTGAGATATGAACAACAAACTTAACTTATAACGGAGGATGAATTTTTGAAACTCATTCACAAGTTGGCCAGTACTTAAGTGACACTTAAGCTGCCATTAAATATTTATTTATTAACTTAGCAGAGAGCACATTTTAATTGCAAATGACAACAACAAATTATCTAATGCTTAGTGTGCATAAGGTTATGGCTTTTTTCATAATTCGCAGTTAACAGAAGTGTGGCAGCAAATTACGCAGTCAGCAAGGTTATCAACTTCATTATAAGATTAGTTATGCCAGCAGGCGACGGCTACGTATGAGAAAAAACTTTGACCTGCAATTACGTTGGTTCGGAACGCCAACATGTGAGCAGATTTACTATGGAGAACATGTTGACCGGTGCACGCAATGTGGCACGCAACCTCAGGCGCAAGCATAGTGTCAAGGTAATGTGCAGTTATGAAAGCAATGTGAAAATTTTAAACTTTGATTTTGAAAACAACAACAACAAAAATTACAACAAAAATTACAACAAAAACAACAACAGAAGCGAAGAGAAATGAAGGGAAGAAAGGTTGTGAGGAGTATATTATCATTAATGATAAAAGTTTAATGGTGTTCGTCATATCCATGTTATCGTGTTTACTGAAAGTTTTCTCTGCAGAACCAATGCTTTTTATAATGAACATTCAACACTCAATACTCAATACTCAACACTAAACACTAAAGACCAAACACTACACACAGAAAACAACAACATATGACAAGCTAATATTAAAGGCGCACTTATACAAAACGTTCACTTATGCAAACATGTCACTCATTTGCCGCACTGTTGAGAAGGGTTAAGAAACTCATAAAAGCAAATTGTTTCTATCAAGCAGAAAGGATGACGCATGCTTAAGTGCTATTAAAACCAAATACAATGACTATAATTTCTTTTATGGCATACACGGCGTATGCGGAACACTCGATGCGAGCCGCATTCATCCAAGCCACCAAGCCATCAAGCAGCCAAGCTGCCAAGCAAGCTTGGGACCTAAAATTTTGCTATTCACTCGTTCACTCGTTTTCTATACAAAAATGAGATAATTTACTGAAAGCACACCAGATAACGAAACATTATTATATTTTGTGGTGCTTGAAGAAACAAGAAAATATTTAGAAAAAGGTTATAACCTGCAGAATATGTGACCTATCAAGGATATTCCTATCAATTGAAAGCAGTTTAAAGTAAATAACCAAAAATCGATATGAAAATTTTACACCACAAATTTTGCGTTTTCAATGAATGGATTAATTTTAAATAAAATAGAGTAAAATTTCGGTAGTATTTCTATTCACATTCTTTCAAATAAATGAAATTGATATATAAACTTTGAAAGCTTTTAAATTATGTATAAATTCATAACATTCTTTCAAATATTTAGAGGATATGCAATGTATCAAAAAAGCCACAGTCAGAAAAGAAACGTAATGATTCACATCAAGGATAACATATTTTTGTACATAAAGAGATTAAAAAATGATATAGCCTCAAAATTGATTTCTTTAAAAAAATTTTAACCCTTTCCCAGACAGCTACAGCGTCTTCAATTCACTGCAATAGAATTCAGTGCTCGAAAAGCATTAATATATATATCAGACATACTGCAATCAATGTCAAAAAGAGACTTTAAATTGACAGTCAGTCGTTCATAAGGGCGATAGTCTGCCACACAATACCTTCTCCAAAAACGTACTCAATAACAAAAGAATTATTGGTTCACTGCAGCACGTAAAAATTCTACGAAGGAAATACGATAACAGATGAGCTCTCTAATCTGGGTGAACTACAATCAAACAACCAAATTAATACTGATCTACCAATCCAGCAAGAATAAATTAATTTGATGCACTCTCTAACAGAACACACTCTCTCCCGAAAGAACTGCAGAATAATGATTGATGCACTAACAACATATTGTTACACGTTCCAAAGTTGCGACAGGCGGGAAGGGATAATTGTGGAAGTAAAACATACCTGAAGTAAACTGAAATTTGGAACACATAACATGTACAAACCAAACTCTGTCGAAAATACGGTTGAAATACCTTAATACTATACAGTATCACAACTTGGAGGTAATAGCCAAACTGAAAATCATCACATATCTTAAATTCGTGAAAGCCACTAAAATCTTCTGCCATCAGCTATAAACCCATTATCATATTATCGGAGTTTTAGAAACCCACTGAAACTCACTTTGGATCAAGCTAATACTCTATTATTATATTTTCAAAGCTCCATAAATTCATAAAGGATGCTAACGTGTTATGTCACTAAACGTAACCCAGATGTCAGTAAATCGAGACTACGAAAATCAACTAAAACTTGTGAACTTGCTTAGAGACAGCATAAGCAATCTCTGATTCAGCTAATACTCTTCTAGTAGATCTGTACTAATCCTAATAATCACAAAGAGTGATTAAATGTTTTGTCACTGGGTGTTAACATAATCTCAGAGTATCAGAATAACGGAAATCCACTGTAAACTAAGGAACTCGTTTAAAGAAAGCACATGTAGCTCTTGATCTATAGCGAACATCTGCAGCTAATACTCTATTACTAGGTATGTCTTTAACTGGAATCACTAGTAAATTCTGAAGAAAAACCTTTTTCTACTATATCGGGAGGTAAAAAATATCCTTTAGTTGGAATAAACATCTCAAAATATTTAAAATATTAAAATTAT